TGAAGGTTTTAGTTTGTAGGAGGACGTTTAAACGTGTGGATATAAATCGTCGTGACTGTAGATGGAAGGGTTGATTTAGTTCTCTTTGGCCGAAGTAAAATCTGTTTAAAAATAAAAATAAAAGTATATTAATTTTATTTCTCGCCTTATGGTCATCGTTATTAGAAGTGCTAAACATAGAAATTTTACCCACATGTGGAATAATTAGTTAATTTGTTACTGTAGACTTCTAAGTTGTAGCCATACCTACATATAATATTGGTAAATATGTTTTCGTTCTTGTCTTTTCAAATTTAACCGATTTTATCTCAGCAGCAAACCTAGGAACTCATTGAGTCAATGCTATTCATACTGACCGTAGATCTAAATGTAATGTCCTTTTATTTTAATAACTTTAAACGAAAACACAATAAAAGAACCAGAAATAATCTTAGTCTGCCTACTAATACTGGGGTTTCTACACGTATTGTTTTCACAAAACTTTATCTCCTGTTAAAATTGTATTTACATTTTTTTTTGTCCTTGGACACTAGGTTTTAGTCCAGGATTACTTTTCACATTACTTCAGGCTAGACTTATCGGGTATTATACATTAGATCAAATCCATTGGTTATTGGTGGGATTTGAACCCGGTAAATCAGAGACCGAAGTCCCTCACTCCACCACTAGACCAGCTCGTTTCCCAATTGAACATCCCTTGTGAACGATAAGTTTGAACGTTATAATGTCAATATTAAAGAATGAGAATGAGTATGAGAATTTTATTTGGTCTTTTAAACATGCAGTTACATGCAATCAGACAAGTCATATAATAATCATCTGGCAACAATCAGTTAGGCTAACAGTCCCAGTTAGTAAACTGGGTTGACTTAGCTTAAATCACACCATGCACAAAAACAGGCAAATAAGAGCGAGTGGTCTAGTGGGTGAGCTCGGGGCTTCAGAGCCCGAGGTTCCGGGTTCAAATCCCGCCAACCACCAATGGATTTTACCTATGTGATATTGTTGCGACCCTCTAGTTCTAGCCTGTAATGTGTAAAACAATCCTGCACTAAAACCTAGCGTCCTAGGATATGGAGGAGGGACATAAAATAAATGGCAATATTAGCATGTCGGATGGACTGTGAATGAACTTAAACGTTTCCAAGGCTGTAGGTCACTTGGATGCATGCAACCGTGAAGAGCATTTAGTGGCAATTAGTGGGTGACGACCAAGGTCTGTGAGTACGAGGCTACGTCAGAATGGTCACTCCGATTAGAGGGTTCCTGCTAATTATGTTACCTTCGAGTGATTGAAGGTGATTCTCGATTGTTTTGGGAGAAAAAACTGTTTCCGAAAAGTCCTAATGCTGTCGGTGTGACTGTTCGACATTTTTACATATTTTAAATATTTTTACCTTAAAAGTTTACAGTTGTAAGTGTAGATATACTTAAATGTATTGGAATAATATTTTATTATTTTAGTGCGAAATATTATCAATCATTTTAGCCTCTGGATTGCTTATAATTTATATGATGAGGTCTTACCTTAGCAATCCTAATGTTGTCGATCCAACGAAATCGATTTCAAACCCGAAGATTCATCACGAGTCGAAATCCATGTCGACCAAATTTCAAAAGTTGTATCCACCCAAAGGGTTTCGTAGAATATAAAATAACACTGAAATTAGGGACAAAATCCCTAATTTATTTACTTGGTTTATTTACGAAAAACCCTTGCAACATGTTTCTAAGTAAAACTCAGGTTAACCCAAATTTTAAAACCATAGTTTTCATCCCTAATTTTATGTCATATTCATGTTTATTGTTAAGTATTCATTGTTATTTCATCTTAACTACGAAACCCTTCGGGTGGATACCACTTTTGAAATTTGGTCAACCTAGATTTCGACTGATGATCAACCTTCGGGGTTGAAATCGATTTCAAAGAATCGACAATTATAGGATTGCTAAGGTAAGACCTCATCATATCAATTGCAAAATATTAAATAAGTTAATATATTCGTCCAAAGGGATGTTAGTTTACAAAACATTTTTGTTTTTTGTTAGTAACTAGTAACTATACACCATAATATAGGTCGTATATGTTCTGACGGTAAATTTAAGACACATTGATGTAACAAAATATACATGTCTTTATTTAATACCTTTATGAAAAGACACACATTTTTAACACTGTAGTGAGCACGCTTATTATAAGAGAGTATTAGACTTAAGGGCTGTGAGTTGTGAATTCTAAAAAGATGTTCTCTACGAGTAAATTAGATGAAATAAAGTACAATTAGTTTTAAATATAAATACAATACCCATTTGAGGAAAACCATCATTATATAAAAAAATATATTGAAAACTAAAAAAAACCCACACCGTTGCATGATTTAAATTAAAAATATACCGAATTATTTGTACATAGTAAATATTGCAATATCGATGTTATCTAGTCATTGATTTGCTCGTTTGGTCATTGTATGACAATCAATTACATTCTGCTCAACAATAGTTTACAATGAGAACACAATTTTCAAGTACTTTCCACCACAATTTCTATGAAATGCGGACAATATAACTTTTAAGTCTGCATTTGACTTGTATTGGTCCATTGAATGTTATAACCCCTCATGTATCCCGTGAAGTTTAACCAAAATAACTTAAACAAGACGATTAACACAAAACCAAACTATACGATTTGTTCCGTGTTTTCTTACTTGTCTTCGTTCCTAATTTAATAAAGTTTTTACATGTTTTTATGCATAAAAACGTATCCATTCATGGGAAAAAATCTTTTTTTTAGATTTACAATTTGCGGTGTATTGAAATCTTGAAACCATCATTAATCATCGATCTTAATCATTAAAAATCTAATGATAACTAATTATGTAAATTTTGAATTTCTAATAAAAATTACTACAAGGCCCCAACGACTAAAAATGTTGGTTTACAATCAAAATAAAAAGGATATTGAATAATGTTAGTGTTAATTTTGGTCAACAATTGATACTTTTACTTTTAATTCATAAATAAATGTATTTTTTCCTCTTACAGCTGTTTTTGTCCGAGCGGTTAGGCTCGGTCTCTGTGCTGTATGTGGTTATTTATTTATCTTTTTATGGAATTATTATAAATATCTTACAAATATTTTTAAGTTAATTGTCATCCAGTAATAATAAAAAAAATTACCATATAACCGGGGCTTCAGAAGGAATGGTTTTCAACTGTAACGGCTTTGAATAAACTTACAAATCTTTAAAAATGTCTCATAAAAATTGTATTTTTGAAAATATAAAATACGTAAGGCCTCTTGGGGTTCACGTATACCGTGGTTAAATGGTTTTAAATTTTAATTGTATGAGTTTTTAAAATTTGATATTCTTAACTTAAATTAATTTTAATGCAGGTATATTACGTTTAAAATTTTAATACTGCTCAGTCACCTGTTTTCTTACAAAAGAACATGAAAATGTAATGAACTATGGGAAAAATAAGGAACTGTTCCGATTCCAAAAAAGTGTAATGAAATATAATATTATTTGAGTAAATTTGAAAAGTTTGTAAAAATTAGAGTACCTGTACAGTACAATGTTTGGCCGAATAAGCAAACCCAGGTAGTACGAATTATTTTCAAAAACTAATTACTAAATACGGTTTCATTGAAAGTAGACCTATATGTAATTTAAAGATTTTTATGGTAAACACGTTAACATTTAGCCAAAATTTAATTAACATACATTTAAAAGTGTAAGAGGTGTTTACTATAAAAATAGTCCAAACAATAGTTCCAAGGTATAAATAATGAATAATTTCAGGAGTATTTTAAGATATATTTCTTCCTTGTTTATTTAGTGTTCGTTTTGTTGTTTAATATTTGATTCCCTTCTTTCAACCAATTTTAAAAGTAATTGTAAATTATTGCTTCATCCTAATAATATAAACAATGAAAATAGCAAAAATAAAAAAAATACCCTAAAAACGAAAAAAAAGTTTTCTTCAGAGGACTCAACGTTACCAACACATAACACCCTTAACAAAAGGCTTCAAATTGTATAATATAATGAGAAGTCTATTATCACTATTAAAAATAAATTACAAACTGCAGAGAAATATTAATTACATAAGAATATAATACGTATATAGCAAAATAGGTTTTCTAACCCTTTCGAAAAATCTGAACTTATTCTGTAAACATTTATCAAAATAAATACAAAAAATATCGCCAATTATAACCGGTGTGTCTGGTTGAAACGATTGCTATTGTGTCCAAATTATATATAATTCCCGTCATGTAAATATCGAAAGCGCAAGTATAAATATATCTAAAAGTAATATATCTAAAAGATGTTTTTTATTATATTGAAACAAAAAAACTAATACGGCAAGTTTTAATAAAGATGCTTTTATTCTTAATAAAATATTAGACATTGTAATATATTTTTTTAATAATACGATGGCTTCGAATATAGTATGAAATAGAAATACTACTCAAGGATATAGTCCTTCTGCATACAATTTATTTGAATTCTGAACATTGTATAGTAAATATTTATTCAAATACTTCTATTTTTTGCTCGTGCTGCAAAAAATTAGTGTTTATTTTTAAAGAATTTATATTTAGGTGATAAATGTCATAATCACTTGATCAGAAGTTCGCAGATTTAGACTAAAAAATATAACACACAAACGGAAAATATACACTCTTGAAAAGTCGAATGAAATTAAGCAAAAGCCACAATTATATTAAAAGCATATAGGCTAACAAATTTTGGAACCTCCTTTGTTCGATTGCTACGATATTTTCAAATCGAAATGCTATAATTGCTCGTTTGTTCAATGCTTAGGGCTAGGTTAGGTTAGGGTAGTTTTGGTTATAACTAAACATAACCTAAAACATAAACTAAGGATTGTTATATACCATTTATAATTCGATAGTAGGCTATTACGAAAAAGGCCCCTAATTTGTTATTATTTTCTCCCTTACTTTATACAATTTAAAACAGTTTTCCTACCTATTGTATTGATGCGCTCGCTGTAGCCCATGATCGGCGCCACAAGTATCAATATAGGTATCCAAGAGAGCGCACCGCCAGGCGTCATGGTGCGCACACAGCACTATACTATCGCACTGAGCACTGCGCTGCTACCACGATACTGTGACTGCGCTCTGCGCTGCCAGTCCTCACTGCAGACACTGCGCGGAGAAAGTATACACACTGCACAGTTTTATCGCAGAATCCTCAGAATTATCTCGTGTTTATTTCAATTGTGACACTCCGTGACGAACGCAAAAGTGAATTTGTAGAAACCTGTCGGTTTTTTACATAGTAACAAATATGAGAAATATAAGTGGTTGGAGCATTACAACTTTTAGGGTGTTTTCGTAAAATGTTTGAGTAGAACCCGGTTATCGTTTAACTCATTAATAAATATAGAGCAATGAAACTTTAGGTTTACGTGCTCACTATAGTTACTAACTGTTGGTTTGTCTGTGTTCTTTCACTGTGATGGGAATAAATATCATAACCTTAAATGTTATTGTAGTTATCATATAGTAGTATTAAGATCTTTTTTATGTGTCTATACTAGTGAAATTAGCTATCAAAATTCTTAAACGCTTTCGAGTGAAAGTGGTCCTTACTTCTTGATTGTTTGTAGGAATGCCGTGGATCGAACCCGCCCCCTTTCGCACTGAAGTCCGTGACTCTAACCTTGTGGCTAGAAACCTAGCAGCATGTCTCTATTTGAGTACATTGCCGCATTGACGACTGACAAAGGATCTCTTTTCAAAACGAGATTTGTAAAATTTTTTATGGTTTATCTCAAACACTATGACAAAAAATGTTATGGGATATTACTAGAATCATTATAACTAATTTCTCGGTAGTTGAGGTTTAAAGTTTTACATAAAAATCAACTGCTATTACAACAACACACTTGAACACGGTGCTTTTTCATATTAGATTGTCAGAGATGTGTTGCTTATACAGTTACCTTTTACATAAGGTGATAGTTCAACTTTTACTCATATTTGTAGACTTCCCTCACATGGTATGTCCAATAGAAAAATAAAACGGTCGACATGTTCAAAAGCTCAGTTGGTTGTATTTTAGAATTTCATAGCTATTCGACTTTTGACCATGAATGAAATGAAGATTTTCGAATTTTGGCGTAGAATAAATTATTGGCGAGTTTTACCCCCGTTATGTATTGTTCCTAGTTAAGATGAAGATTAATTATGTATTTTATTTACAATAACTCACTTATCTTATACTTGGTTGGTCCATAGTAAAAGATATTTTTTTCCTTGGTGATGCGAGTTCAAATCTCAAAAATCATCAAAAGCCTTTGTTTATGTAATAATTACGAAGTCAGGTGCTTCGAAGCGGTCATAAACAGCAAATACTTATAAGTTGTAGTTTAACTTATTTAGAAAACAAAAGGATACGTCTCTGAGAACCTTCTCCCTCCGAAAGAACTCGCTCTATCTAGTTATATGTACCCTTAAAATAAACAAAATGATTCCTTGTACTTGAAATTCAAATATTTTTTTCTCAGATTACAGTTAAATATACAATACAAAATTGTTTTCTTCCTTTTCAACGGCGAAAAAAATCTTGAAGAGAGCATGAAGACAACGGCGATATCACTTTTGCAAAACGAATTTAAATACTTATTGTCCATGTAAGACTAAATTTGAATCTTTTTTAGAAATAAATTAAATACTTAATTATTTACGTTTTTCAGTGAGTTTTATAATTTATTCGTACATCTAACCCTTATATCTTACCCCTTTTAGAGACTCATCCCTTTTATCGACATTTTGTACTCATATAATATCGATTTGTAAGCAATTATAGTGTAAAAATTATTGTTTACTAACCTTAACCTATGTTATAAAAGTAAGGCTCACATATTGAAAAATAAATAAATGAATATACTAAATGTATGTGTTATTTAAATATTTGAAACAATAGTTCGTGACTATTACTTATAAAATTTGAAATATTTTCTTGAACATTTAGTCAAAATAAATTTGTTTAGTTTTAGGTTAAACCATAGAAAAAGTTCTACGATTACCTAATAGTAAATACAACTGCTTAATTCGTAATTAATTAAGATAAACGACGATTTGATCAATTTATTTCAAGTAAGTACTTTATAATTACTTTATATTACTAGTACCTCTAACATTAATTATTTCATTTGACTTAAACTGTTATCAACTTAAGCTACTTTAACTAAGCCAACTTAATTGTATAGCAAACATTTAATTGATTACAAATTAGTTTTCCTATTGAAAAATTAAATCACAATCTTAGCCCAAAAAAGTATTAGCGCTAAACCCAAAACAAAATTTTAAAAGTAAAAATTAAAATATATTTTCTTCAGAGGTAAAAAATCCAATAACAGAAAACGTGGATTTGTTAACCCGCTGACAAAATAATGAATAAAAACGTGACGTGGCATTAGGCTGTTATGAGGTTTGCCTTTATGAACAGTAATTTGTGAGGCAAATGCCACTGTGGCTTTCCTTGATGAACATGTGGAATAAGAAGGCTTAAAACTAACTGAAGCTAATTATTTCATTTCAAATTTTACACCAAGAGGGTATAAAATTATTTTTGAACCTGGGTTTAAATGGACGGTTAATAAATATCTCTGTCTATGATTTTTTTCATGTATCCATCGTTGACCAGTAATTACTGGAGGGATTTAGTAAAAAGAAAAGTTTAAGCTTCAATACTTTGGATATTTATAGCGGTTAACATGGCTGTAGTTACGAGGTCCATTCATCGTTTTCCTCTGTGAAATATTCCTTCATGGAGTACAGGGGCCGCGCCTTGAGTAGCTCCTCTACTCTCTTTTTAAAATCCTTAAGAGGGAGTGACTTTATGTCCTGGTGCAGGTGGTTATAGAGTCTGATGCCAAGGACACGACAGCAGTACTTTTTTGCTCAGCTTGCAGAAAGGAACGTTTAGATTTTCTCCTTTTCTCGAATTATAACTATGCAGTTGGTTTCTGCGGCTGAGGTTGTCTATATTTTCCTTGACCTGCACCAGACAGTTTGTGTACTAATCTTGTGTCTTGTTTCAGATTCCATCCGACCCGAAGACATGGTGAGATTTCAGATCCTGAAACGATTAGAAGTTTGTGTTTTAATTATCATTGATGTAAAACAACCAAAATAATGCTTAATCCACTTTTAGGTCAGTATATATTACCTCGGATTTAGACATATACTCTACTCTCTACTCCATTTACTATATACTCTTTAATCTGTAGTAATACTTATATTAGAAATTTTTCATTGCAAGATCTGTTTTTTAGTAAATGTTAAACTTTGAAAGTACAATTGTTGAATTGTACAAACAAAAATCCTTATTCAATTACAGTTTTATTTCTCATAACATGTAAAAAATTATATTGTATAGTCGTATGTACTTTTGTAACAAGTGTAATTCATAAACTAAATTGTAGTCTTTATCTTGCAATGATTTTCCATGATCTTATTTACAACATAGGTGTTTCACTTATAAGTTTGCGAAATAACACAAACCTTGAACTCATTTACAAATAACTCCACGAACACTCCAAAGACATTTAAATCTGCGTAATCTATGTATAGAGATTGGAGATTGTAGAGATGATTCAATCCGCGTCACTCCCTGTGGCTTTGACACACAAAACTTTGCAAATCGGAGCTCTGATTTGCGAATACGTGGTTGAAATACAGGATGTCCCGCAAACCCATCTAGAACAAGTCACTTAGAGACGTTACCTTTGCTTTACTGAGGATTGCAAAACGAGCATTCCAAATACGTGACATGATTGTTGCATGTAAAGGAGTGTAAAGAACGTTTAAACATATTTAGTGAGCTTGTGAATGGTAAATCAATTCTTATTTTCTCACGAATTTGGAAACGCAAAAGTTTGTCAAAATCTGTTAGGTGCTTCATATAAGAGGAGGGTTAAGGTTTGGTTCGATTAGGATAAGTATTCAATTTAAAATATCAAATTTGAATTGAAAATATGATTTTAGGAAAGAGAGGAAAATGAGATGACTGCCATAAATTAACCTATGCTGAACTAGGTTGCACTTAAAAGGGCGAACGTAAGTAACAAATTCTGACCAACTTTTGCACCTCCAAAATCATGTTGAAGAGGAATGAGGAAAGTATGTTAACAAATAATTGAAATTTAGTATTGTAGTTGAAATGATGAAAAAACAGTTGTATATAAATAAATATAATAATAATCTCTACGTAAAGCCACCGGTCCAAAATTATCATTGCAAACACTCTTTAAGAATTACTAGCTGACCCGACAGACGTCGTCCTGTCCTAATGTGGTTTTATGTCAAATGCTCGTTCATTTTCAAGACGAGCTCGTTCGCATGGCTCAATCACGTCCTGGTTGAAGTTCGTTCGCTACGCTCACTCACCTTTAGGTTGGAGTTCGTTCGCTGCGCTCCCTTGCCTTCAGTTACATTTGACAACAAATATTCGTAAAAAACAAATGGAATAGAAACCTATTTGATAGCTCTCATTTGTTATGCATAGATTTGTTTTTAAACATTAGGTTATCATTACAACAGCTGTTTCCTTAGTTTAATTTAATCAAGAAATGACAAACATGGCATGGTAAACAAAATAAAACATTCTTCCATAAGATTAACATGTAAACTGTAAAGGACCATAGGACGCTTCCCTTAAGGGATTTTGAAACGTAAACAGGCTATTATGTTATTCTAGTACCTAAGGAATATCCCTGTAAATTTTCATGCCAATCGGTTCAGTAGTTTTCTAGTTATAAACGCTGTAACTAACACAACTTTCTTTTATATATTAAGATTTGCTAGGATAACGTGGACAACAAATGTTTATTTGTATGAATGTCAACCTTACTTTTGTACTACATTAAAACCATTTCTATATACATTTGTGCAGTTTGTATACCAGTTTCTCCAAATACAGTTAATACTCTACATCACTCAACACATCTCGTGCTTAAGTTCTTTGATAAGTCAACCAAACATTCGCGCTTACTGCTCAAATCCAACTCAAGACTAACCAATGGTTTCGTGCAATTATGACACCACAATGCTCCACGGTCACAGATAATTCCATACC